CGGCGATTTAATGGGGGTGTTTAACTACGAAATTGGGGGATTATATTTGGAGGGGCTTATACATGGAGGGGCGTATTTTCGGAATTTTACGTTAACATTCCATTTATATGTAACATGCTAACAGCACTGATAGAGATGGGATTTCAGTGCTACCTACCTTACTTGGTGTCTGTGAGAACCATTTTTGCTTTCCTGGGACTGTGAGTACTTCATCTGTAGGTTTCTTTTTTGCAAATCAGATGAACGCCTTGTCTTACCTCAAGGAGGTGAAGACAATCTTCATGAGAACATGCAATCTGATTATGGCTTGAACACTTTTCCCGCTGACAATACGGACAGGCGACCCGAATATGATACTGCAATCCACCTTTATAGAGATCACGTGACAAAGCTTGCAAAGTTGCCTCCACAAACTCACGAACCTGCACTGCCACCTCACTTGTCTCATCCACAGAGATCTGCTGAGGGTGGTTTCTTTGCTTGATAAAGAACTTAATAAACTGCTTCTTACAAATGAGAACAAAATCATGGACAGTTTTGTTCTCAATAACAAACTCCACGCTCCATTTTGGTACAGGGTAGGGAGCTGAGTTGGACCAGCTTCAGAACACCAATGGACAGATCTAGAAACAAGCCGAGTGAACAGACCATGGGGAACAGAACCACTGACAAAGTAAATATAGAGGGGACAAGGGTCCAGCCTTGAGGGCGCCATGGAACAAAGGAAATCAGGTGACGCTTTGAGTTGAGATGGAACAAAATACTTTTCACCTGTCTTTGATGATGAAAATTTTGCAATCAAACCAAATTGTTCCATCAAATCCAGAATGTCTTTCCTGGCAACGCCCTCAAGAAGAAATTTGGAAAACACATGATCAAGCAGTTCCATGCTGAGAACACCGCTTTCTTCGACTTCCTTCCAGTGCTTTGCAAACTTAGGGACCTAAGACGGAATAGCAAGAGGAATGTAAAGAAATTATTTTTCGCAAGAAAGGTTTTATTCAGGATATTGCGCAAGTTAATGACATTCCGCATTGCACGGAGCTGCCCATTTTAGGTGATACGTTTCAGGAGAATTGTAAATATAGCGAACACGTACGTGCTAAGTTGATTAAGGCAAATACTGTAAGTGTCTGTTTGTATTAAGATCTTTACGCGATGAAGGTTTCAGTCAAGGTCAAGTAGACCACCTATTTAGCGCCTTAGTTTTACCAATTTCACTTATGGTCTGCCTATTTATGGCGCTGTAGACTCAGATCTCACGGTCGTACAAAACTTTCTGGATAGATGCTTTAAAAGGAAATACACATCTAAGAGAGCGGAAATTCGACAACTTTTTAGAAAAGGCAGATAAGAATCTTTTCGAGGTACGTTCAGTGGATCCCGACTGCCAGCTTAGTAACATCATTCCGAAGAAGAAAGAAACAAAGTATAAACGCAGAAACAAAAGTGCTCATCGCCCGGATATAAAGACTGATAGATTTAAGAATGTTTTTGTAAATAGGCTTATTTTTTAGATATAATTTTGATCTTTCTGTTATTTGTATACAGTATGTCTTATGTATTTTTATCTTTCTATTATTTGTATACAGTATGTCTTATGTATTTTTAGACTCCCAACTGCTGATGTAACTTAAGATATGTCTTTTATCTTAGGAAGAATAAAGATTGATTGATTGATTGATTTGATTGATTGAATGATCACAAAACTATTCAAAATAGCTTTCTTCCAGGATCATTTTACATTTCTAAATGTTATACTAATAAAGTTTAGCAAGTTCTCTAAAAGAAATAAACTACTGAACATTTTAAGTAAACATTCAAGGAAAACTTTCTTCCTTGCAATTTGCGGATTTGTGTGAGGACACATATAAAATAGAAGTTACGAAAGACTGCCTAGGGAGTATAAATGTGAATAAATCTCTCTGGGGGCGAAAAAAGATCATAGCCTTTTAAACAGACCTCAGATTTTAAATCTATAGAATGCTCTTTAAAGCGCCACGTAAATGCCAGTATCCTCCATTTGGTTTACTCGCCGGAAAATTCTTACGGTCCAAATTTCACTTCCACAAACTATAAAAGCGCGTTCTGATTGGTCAACGCAAAGAGTCGCTGGTTTCAGCAGACGTATAAGTATCTTTCCACTCTTTTTTTTGTGAGACGTTCCTTTAAGACCACATTCGAGGATAATTCTACAAGTCACGCAATGTACTTCCAGTGCACTCCTTTAAAGGTAGATTGTGCTGATGACACACACGAAAGATAGCGTGCAATGCACGTGACATAATCATTTTTATTTGTTACGGCACGGTTTGACACCCGTGATGTCATCCAAAATGGGGGCCGTTATAAAACATGGCAAGTTTAAAAACACGTTAAATTGTATTTCTTACCATTTTCGTAAAATCTGGAATAGTGATCAGCTGCCCGAACAAGCTTATCAGCCACTTGGCACTCAAGATGACTGTGCCACGGTGCTGGATAATTATTCTCAGGTCATGATAGAAATTCACCATAGTAGTAAACTCTTCCTCATCATGGATGAAGCACTTCTCCTTGGCATGGGTCCGTAGCTCTGTTATACTCAGGTAATAAACTGGCTTGGAAAGCAAAGCGTTGATGACTTTCTCAAAGTTCAGCCACCTAGTTTACAAAACCAAACAGAAAATTGATAGCGCGTGTTTAAGTATCCATGTCACATATACACATTATACCTGTGCTGACTAAAGTACAGGGCCCAGTTGTTCCAAAGGTGGATAACTGTATCCACTTGATAAATATGTGTGTGATCCACTTTACTTCACCTTTTTAAAACGACAATTGAAATGTACACGGTGCTTTTTGGTCAATTCGAAGTAAGATTATAAGAGCGACGGTCGGGAAATATCGACCATCGAGTGGCAAGCGTTGAAAAATTGATTGCCTTCATTTTTTTGTCCATAAATAGCTTTTAGGTAGATAAATAATCTGATGTAAGTTGTTCTCGCAAAAAGCCTTTTATTCTCGAGAAAAGTAAGGATATCAGTTTTCGTGGTCGGAGTCTCAAAATGGCCGTATTTTCAACCCGAAATTTGCTAACATCAACTCTCCTCGCGTTCGCAAATAAAACCGCAAGGAGAAATTTGGACACTTTCCATCAATACAACAACTCTTGTTCTTTCACTAGAAGATACTTTCAAAGCAATATCAAGACTCGTTGAACTAACATAATTCAGAAACGAAGAACAGGTTTAATTTTTACCGTGACAAAAACTTTAATTTAGTAGTTGTTTTCTGCGGAATTTTTCTTCATGTGGTATAGCTCCAAATTTTCCTGGTCCTCGTTTATTCACACATTTAGACATTCATCTAAAGCATACCTGAGAACTGGCTTGGGTTCCTTTAGGCAGCGTCCAAACGAAAGCATCAAAGTCCGGTAAAAATAGAGAAGCGTGACCAAAATTACTTATTTAACGGCTCCAAGTTTCCTCGATCGCAAAGTAAGAAGACGAAATATCTTCCTGTTCCGTCATCCTTAGCATATTACCATTCTTAAAGTCCATATTTTTCGATAAAAAGTGAGTACCAGAAAAAGCGCGTTTGACTTTTTCTTCTTCAAAATACTGTCAGGATCGAAAATGTTACTCTTTCAAGAATTGCGTTGCGTTACTACAGTGATTCCGTGACTGTCATTTTAACGGCTTCGTCTCTTCAAACGTACGTTATGTCACGTGCAGTCACGGAACAGATTGTCACGCAGAGTCGCCGTCTGGTAGGGTTCAGCCTTTCAAAATGGCTAAAATTGACCCAGTTTCACCTTTTTACCCCACTCTTTGATTGGAAAAAGAAATTTTGCAATTGGAAAAAAAAAAAAGAAGTGCAAATAAACGAGGCTTTAGGCTGTAAATATCTACTTTTGTGCGTTTCGACAATTACCGCCGGCCTACCATGAAAATTCCTGAACTTCGATGGTGTCTTACGGAGATTACATTCAATAACCCAAGCCAATTCCCAGGTATGTTTTAAATGAATGTCTAAATGTGTTATTTAAATAGCATTAAGAGAATTTGGAGTTATACCACATGTTAAATATTGCCGTCGAAAATGAGTAACGAACTTCAGTTTTCGTTATCCTGAAAACCTATCGCTCATTTTTGAATTATTTCAGTTCGACGAGCTTCGCTATTGCCCTAAAAGTATCTTTTAGTGGAATAAAAAGAATTTTTCTGTTCATTGAAAGAGTCCAAATTTGTCCATGCGGCTTCGTTTGCAAACGCGAGGAAAGTTAATGTTAGCGAATTTCAGGTTAAAAATTAGGGCAGTCTGAGACTCCGACATCGAAAACCGATCTTCTAATTTTTCTCACAAATAAAAAGCTTTCGGCAGGAACAATCTACTTTAGGTTTCTTATCTACCTAAAAGCTATCTATGAACAAAAAATGAAAGACACTGATTTTTCAACTCTTGCCACGAAATTAAGATTTTGGTCAATTTGGCCGGCGCTCATAAAACCCTTTAGGGCAGAATATTCCTTAAGGCCAGTCAAAACTGCTTTTCATGGTGAGCTTGTTTCAAACAACGAGATATTTATTTCTTATGACGGCCAGGTGGCTCATACAGGAATCACTGAATTTTTTCTGTTCTCGCTGTATTTTTTTAACCAAAGTAAAGGACTACAATGAACCAGCCTTGAGATGTTTTGCTGCAACGCTTTTATATAGCGTCGCAGTCACTGAGTTACTTAGGACACCGAAAACACATTGCACATCAAAGAAAAATCTTACAAGGACTGGCGAAAACAAATGCCATACACATAAACAGCAATTTCAGTGCGCTCACAGCTCAAACCTTCACAACAAAATTATCTAATATTTACTCTAATGGATTCTCTTTTTGTATAACCATTTTTTTTACCTTATAGGTATCCTCTCTCCAATGTAAGGCTCCTGTCTTAGCACTTCCATAATTTTCATTTGTAAAGCTTGGATCTCATCAATGTTTTCATCTTTCCCGAAAACCATTGTCTTGATCTTTCTTTGAGTTAATTTTGCAGTGTTGTCAATGCTGAAGATAGGCCGTTCCACATGTCCTTCATAGTCCTTACCAGAAATTGCTTCCTGGATTTCTGTTTTCATTGTTTCAATGTCTTCAAATGGTTTGTCTGCATGGGTTCCTACAATGATCACTGGGGGGCGTAAATGAGGCACCTCTTTTTCTACATCATCACAGGTTTCTCTTCTCATTTGTGCGACGCTATGCACTGTGGACAACCAGGACAACAAGTTCTCAAGATTTGTTTCTCCATTTGGGTTTTTCAAATCAACATTACGAGATCCTTGCCTCACACAGGGCTTGGCTGTGTCATGCAGTGACTTGCTGAGGTTGCACACCAAGATGTACAGCGCACGTGATGATAGGAATACGGGATGGGATGCATAATACAGGTGCTGTCCAGCAAAATCCCACAGTTCAATACTGACAACAGATTCTTCAGGCTTAAAATCTTCATCTTGTATTTCCTTTATCAACTGAACTGCTCGTTCCTTAATCTCCTCTGGAGGTGAAGTAGCATCAACCACTAACTCATGATCAGGTCCTGTTAATGTGAGTTCACTAACACTGTCTTCGTTTGGATCACCAACCTGTAGCAGAGTACGAAAAAACAACAAACAAAATAATTGTTGATTCTGATTCTAGAAGACTTACCGTACCTGGCTCGATTTTGCGGGTGAAGAGAAAAAATGGAGTAAGAAAAAAGGAAATAACGCCATTTTGTGGGGCGGAATAATTGAATAAGTAGGTTTTTTCGACGGAATAATGAGTTCTTTTTTACTGGAATAATGGAATAACGTAAATTTTCCAGCTGGAACAGTAAACACCGGATTATTCCTCTTCATCCCCCGATTCGACTATTATTCAGGCATTTAAAGTTGTTTTTGATGACAGAAAATTCTCTATAAGCTCAAACATTGAGCTACGATTACCACGATTTGGCAATTATTACATATTTTCTATACGGACATCGAAGTAAAGGGCAGGGAAGCCGTGGTGAGTTTCTCACTAAAACCTAACTTATGAAAGCAATAATCAATTCATAATAATTACTGTTAGGACGTTCGAATTCTCGCAGTACCGAAGAATTCACGAAAAAATATCACATTTCAAAGACAAAAGACAAACCTGGTTCACAAGAGAAACTTCTTCCTTTTCTCCATCAGCACCAACCTGTTTTCTTTTCTTGTTATCATCGTTTTGAACTATTGCTTCACCTCTTTCCTCCTCCTGAACCGAGTCACGGCTAACTGGAATATCAAACATCTTTTCCACCATCACCTGCGCCACATCTTTCGAACATCCTAGGAACCCTCGTTTTCTCTCATCAATAGGTTGCCAATTCTTGACTTCATCAACGTCCAACTGAAATTTTGAAGGATCCACTTCAATTCCATCAGTACTTTTTTCTTTTCTATTAAATGGTAGACCAATAAGAGACTTCTTCAAACTTGTTTTTCCTGCCCGATCCTGCCCAATAAGCAATACTCGACCACGGTAAACATTAACAGCTCCATCTTTAAGAGCACTTTGATAAGCGAGCTGTGCTTTCTCCCCGCGTGCGTCTATTTCTAAAGGGACTAGTGAAAAAAATGAATGCATCTTCAAGGTAAGTAATGTCTTAGAGGTAATAAGTAAATCATTGGCTTCTAGTTCACTTGACTGACCTAGTACGTCACTTGGTGGGGGGGGGGGGAGGGGGGTAATTTTTATTAGAGACTTAGTCATACACCAGTGTAAATTGTCCTTCATGTGATCTTTCAGTATGGTCTTTTAAGTTATTAAAAGAATTCTATGGTAAACATAATTTTACTGAATTTCAAATGTGACAGATATAACTAAATGTTGGTTATTTTTTGATACTGTTAAACAAACCAGCTGCTATCTTAAACTTGGTTTTTTCGTGAGCTTGCTTGAAGTGTCCATGCATGTGATGTGTAAAAAATAGTGTTATGTTTTGCGTCATCAGAATTATAAGTGCTGTTTGCATTCAAGTAAGATGCCTGTCCCTCAGAAAAAAAAAATTTATTCTGAACATCAACGAATCCAAAACCACACACTTTGGCATCATCTTCCGGGCTATAGGCCCTTTGTTGGTTGGCATCAGTATTTGTGATGCTGTTCTAAATATCAAACATGGGGGTTCTGGGACTAAGACAGCCTTCACCATCGCACAAGTTTTACATAGACTGAGTACTATTCCGTCTGGCTTATGCAGTTGTTTTACTCACAAAGTATCCGGTGTTTTTACGATTAGCTTTTGTACTCAATTCCGGTAAAAGTACAAGCGCGCTTGTTTAAGGTGGCTCCCTAGACTAAATTGCCCGTGCGTGCGCAGCCTGAGCACTAGTATGGCGCGAGCTTTAAAATCCGCGCGACGTACACGCTAAAATAATATTTAACAATTATTCTTTGAAATCGAGGTGAATAGTGGCAAAATATTTACCGAGCCGCGAAAGCGGCGAGGTAAATATTCCCAAAGCCACTATTCACCGAGATTGAGAAGAATAATTGTTTTAGAGTTTGACTAATAGTCGCGGGTCGCGGGTCGCGGGTCCAATGTCGCGGTCGCGGGTCTAATGTCGCGGTCGCGGGTCCAAGGTCGCGGTCGCGGGTCCAAAGTCGCGGTCGCGGGTCCAATGTCGCGGTCGCGGGTCCAAAGTCGCGGTCGCGGGTCCAATGTCGCGGCAGGGGAAAATGATTTGAAAACGACTGATATGAAAACAATATGAAGGGAAAAAATCTTTTTTGTGCACGATACTCTACGGTAGCCAATTTACAGGTTACGGATGTTAGAGTCAACAATATAATGTCTCAAGAAAAGACCTAAAAGACTTTTGTGTTCACCGCAAGTTTATTTTGTTTTCTTTCTGTCGGGCCCAGTTAAGTGTAAATTCAGCTTTGAATATACTTATGTATAACAGTATCTGATAAGAAATGTTACCATGAGTAACCATTGTTTTCTTCTTGTCTATGAATTGCTCACAAATCCTTAGGGGTGCATTCACTGAAAAATGTGCGATACACTTCATAGACTATAAATTATAAACGTTACAACAACTTAAAACCTTTTTTAAAAAAGGCTAACTCGGGCTCGAAAAGCTACGAGTCTGTCGGTAGAAGAAACGAGAACTGTTTCAATTTTAACAAATGTTTTCGGCAAAAATAAAGAAAACGCTTGTTGAAAAACTTCCTGGTCGGTGTACTGGTCGCTGTTACGAAAAATTGTATTTCGTGACTAGTGTGACTTTCTAGAAGCTTCGCGAGAGTTCATAATTTGTTTATTTTAGGATCTTGTGTAAGAGTTTCTAAAAGCGGTATATTTTGTAATCTTTCTATAATTAGACTATTTGGAAAGTTCTAGAATCTTATTGTAAACGTATATAAGGTAGGCGAGCCCGAGTTAAGTTTTAACTAGTTTTCACAAGAGAAGAGAGTTTGACGTTGGTCGTGTTTAGTAAAGTGTGACGACGGCAGTTTTTATTCAAGTTGGCGGAGGCCGCGTAAGTTTAACGAGTTACGTCTGTTGTGGAGTTTTACTCAGTGGAAACTACGTTCTTCTTTGGAATAAATCTTCTTGTTGCTGTTCCGACAACGCTGCGTTCAGTTTAGTTTGCAAGCTACCCGTCCTCTAAAAGATTACCCGCGTAAAAGTCGCAAACTCCCAAAATAAACTCTTTGCACAAGTAACTGGAAAGAGGAGGAGAGACGTTGGGCTTGAAGTGCCAGTAAAGTACATTCAAGCGGGTATTCAAGGCATGACTTTAATAAAAAAACAAGTACTAATCCACAGCAAGAGGGGATAAAGCTCCAGCTTTATCCTCTCTTGTCCACAGAAAGGAGTTTGTTCCCAATAACGATTGAAATCCGGAATCCAAGTTCTACCAAGAGAGAATAGATCATAGTCTCTTGGTTCTACTGACAAAGACTTGAATCCAGTACCTGGAATCTGGAATTACTTACCTAATTTATTGTCTTTTCTTAACTCTGGTGGAGTTGATAACTTACCGTTTTCAGTGTCTGGTTTACTTTCTTTTTCAGCTTCATGATATCGGGCGTTATTATTTCCTTACCTACTTACTCACTTAGTTATTTACGATGCATGTTTTCAAGATTTGACTGAGACGCACATTGAATGGCTTCCTATTGTCAGGTTGTCCTGGTTGCCATTTAGGTGAAGAGAACAAGAAGTTATATTGAACTCTCTGGGTTGCCGTCTCAGTTGTAAAAATAAAAGCATTAAGCGAAAATCTTGCTTCGAGGAACAGACTCCTTTCTGTGGATTATTAGTTGTTTTCATATTAAATTCATGCCTTGAATACCGCTTGAATGAAGTTTCATACGCCTATTTACATTTTCTTTCAGTTTTGTCGACAACATTTGTTAAATATAAGAGTTCTCGTTTCTTCTACCGACAGACTCGTAGCTTTTTGAGCCCGAGTTCGCTTTTTTTAAAAAAAAGGCTTTAAGTTGTTGTAACGTTTATAATCTGTAGTCTATGAAGTGCATCGCATATTTTTCAGTAATTGAACCCTTAAGCATTTGTGAGCAATTCATCGACAACAAGAAAGCAATGGTAACTTATGGTAACTTTTTTTATCAGATACTGTTATGCATAAGTATATTCAAAGCTGAATTTACACATAACTGGGCCCGACAGAAAAAAAAAATAAATAAACTTGCGCTGAACACAAAAGTCGGCCAGCTTTTTCTTTTAGGTCTTTCCTTGAGACATTATTTTGTTGACTCTAACATCCGTAACCTGTAAATTGGCTACCGTAGAGTATTGTGCATAACAAAGATTTTTTCCCTTTATATTGTGTTCATATCAGTCGTTTTCACTCAGCTGTTACCTCGAACCCCAAATCATTTTCCCCTGCCGCGACATTGGACCCGCGACCGCGACTTTGGACCCGCGACCGCGACTTTGGACCCGCGACCGCGACATTGGACCCGCGACCGCGACTTTGGACCCGCGACCGCGACTTTGGACCCGCGACCCGCGACCCGCGACTATTAGTCAAACTCATTGTTTTAGTATATACACACGAAGTGATCTCAACAAAATCAGAAAGGAAACCATTCAAAAGTAGGATTTGATTGACAGATCAAATCACGCGTAAGTTTAAAAATAGATCTTTGCAGAATCTTCAAACATGGCAATTCACAAGTTTACTCATTTCGCAAACAACAGCGTAATGGCTTCAATGGAATCGCTAAAAGTTTGAACTGTTTCCTTACCTGAGAAAAAAAGTAGAGCTGTTTTGTTTTCTGTTGACTCGCCAAGTTTATAGCCAAAAGGGCATGTTGTGTCGTTCTTCGCATGAAGTGCTGACAAAAATGGCGGCTCGGTTGCTCGAGGTAAGAGGTCGTCTTCCTGTATCATTCTTTTTCCTGTTTACTTGAAATGTAGAATTTCTGCAAACATTTCCTTTTAAATTTGTTTGTCATAAATAAACTTCGATTTTTGAGCCAAAATTTTCTTCTTAGAAAACGCTGAGTTCACGAAACGGCTTCTTCTACGCGAATACACGGGAGTTGTAAACAATCCATCGAGCACAAAACTCCTGCTACAGTAAATTGAAAAACGCCGTATTGAATCCTTCCAAGTCTTTTCTTGCCTTAAAAAAAGTCAGCCCTAGGATTTTGTCGACTTTTAAAAGATCGTTCTCTAAAAAAAAACGGGAAAAACACCGAGCTCACACATTATCCACTCGCTAGGAGGTGAATATTGTTGAATAGTCCGAGATAGCGAACCAATCAGATTGCTTAAATCACCAAGATCACTGAGTGTGTATATACTAAATAGATTTAGCCACAGCTAAAAGCGAAGCTCCCATTGATACTTTTATAACTTAATCGAAGAATAATTTTGTATTCCACAAATCAGTTAACTTAAGGGCACATTCATGTGACTTTTGAGGGAAAAGCTAAGTGATTCTGGAGTGACACAAATCTTGTATCGAGTTGATATAGCTCTTTAGTATATACACACTCAGTGATCTTGGTGATTTAAGCAATCTGATTGGTTCGCTATCTCGGACTATTCAACAATATTCACCTCCTAGCGAGTGGATAATGTGTGAGCTCGGTGTTTTTCCCGTTTTTTTTAGAGAACGATCTTTTAAAAGTCGACAAAATCCTAGGGCTGACTTTTTTTAAGGCAAGAAAAGACTTGGAAGGATTCAATACGGCGTTTTTCAATTTACTGTAGCAGGAGTTTTGTGCCCGATGGATTGTTTACAACTCCCGTGTATTCGCGTAGAAGAAGCCGTTTCGTGAACTCAGCGTTTTCTAAGAAGAAAATTTTGGCTCAAAAATCGAAGTTTATTTATGACAAACAAATTCAAAAGGAAATGTTTGCAGAAATTCTACATTTCAAGTAAACAGGAAAAAGAATGATACAGGAAGACGACCTCTTACCTCGAGCAACCGAGCCGCCATTTTTGTCAGCACTTCATGCGAAGAACGACACAACATGCCCTTTTGGCTATAAACTTGGCGAGTCAACAGAAAACAACACAGCTCTACTTTTTTTCTCAGGTAAGGAAACAAGTCAAACTTTTAGCGATTCCATTGAAGCCATTACGCTGTTGTTTGCGAAATGAGTAAACTTGTGAATTGCCATGTTTGAAGATTCTGCAAAGATCTATTTTTAAACTTACGCGTGATTTGATCTGTCAATCAAATCCTACTTTTGAATGGTTTCCTTTCTGATTTTGTTGAGATCACTTCGTGTGTATATACTAAAACAATTATTCTTCTCAATCTCGGTGAATAGTGGCTTTGGGAATATTTACCTCGCCGCTTTCGCGGCTCGGTAAATATTTTGCCACTATTCACCTCGATTTCAAAGAATAATTGTTAAATATGTACACCCAAAAAATAGTCTTCGGTCACATTTAAGAGCAATAATAGCTCTTGATCACAGTAGATAAGGCGTGGAAAACAAAGTCTTGGAAAACAAATCAGACCGAATTTTTTCGTTCGACAAGTTTACAAATTCCTGCCAATAAATCTGGGTACGTGCAAACCAATCTTTTATTATTTTTTATAGACCACATCTGAGGAGAAAGAGTACTATGAGGCGCTGTTTTTATCATACAGACCTCGTACAAAATGCAGTATTTCACAAACTTTCAAGACAAATTGCATTCACTCAATATTCAGGACCATCGAAGCGCGCGTGGACTTTTAATTATTAATGGTTTTATAACGATGTGTAATCTTAAAAAGCGTTTGAGACGCTTGGCATTTTGAGTACTCCTGAAAGCGATGTTTATGAACGGCTGAAAACAAACGGCAAAGCGATGAAAATCACACTTTTGAGACTACCAACAATCAATAAAGAAATATCATTCGGTAGAACATTTACAGAGACAACAATTTTCATTCACGTAAACAAATGAGTATTTAAGTGTGTCTAAGAATCGTCAAGTCTTTACTAGCAAGCTTAAAGATTAAGTTTATGCAGAAACCCATAATGTTTTAAGCCGCCGGTTTCCCGGTGTTTGCTGTTTTCAAAGATGACTCACGACAAGAAAATCGCTCAAGGCTTTCTTTCTACAGCCAAAATTATAAGTAAATATTCTTCGGAAAGTTTTTTCTTTCTATTTACGGTGAATTAATATCGACTAAAGGCTTTTTAAGATCGGTGTCTCAGTCAAATCTTAATACAAATGTGCATAAACTAGTTTCATAAACTGCGCCGCTGGACTTCATGAAATTATATTTAAATACAATAATTTCTTAAGCCTACCATATTTCGAGATGCAGCTCCTGAAAGCTATCAAGTAAGGCAAGGATCGCTTGAGCCTTTATAATTCTCGTACGCATCCAGCAAGGTGAGAAACAAAAACGATGCCATCCGAAATCGGATTATCGGCTTTGACAAGCGACGCACTTCTCAACCAAAAACCCAATAAACAAACCAGCCATGAATAAGAGAACACTCTTGATAGCAGCTGTATTTCCTTTTTGTACATCCAGTGGAAAAAGACAGTTAAAAACATCACAAGTTGACTCAAAACTCTGTCAGCTTCAGCGGTCAAAGTAAACAACTTTCAAGATGCTGCATAAATTTTACGCATGAAGTCACCTGTCAAATTTTAACCAATCGGAGCATAAAAATTGGACGTGGAGCGTGACCAACACGTAACCATGGTAAAAAAATGTCTTCCCCGCCTGTCTTTCAAAAAAACTGGCTGAATTTTTGCGTCTGAGGTCAGTTTGAAATCAAAATCGTAATAGTGCGGTGCGATACTGACATAAACACAACATATTTGACATGAATTTAAAAAAAAGTAAACGTGAGCCTGCGATCATTTGAAAACGAGTAAATTTTCAGCGGATAACTTCAAAAAATACTCGACCTCGATGAGTCGACACCTGAGCCCGCGATAGGGCCAAGTGATACTGGTCAGCGGATACCCTGTTTTGACAGCTGTCAATTGATGACAACATTGATGTGCAATCAACTTTCTCCTGGGCTCCCAGAGTAGCTAGAAAGTGCGAGAGTAAACATTGGTATGCCTGTGGTGCAGACGGACGGTCGGTCGGTCACGTGATTACCAAATTTTCTGGGATGGGTAGATTTATTTACCCATGGTGTTCCGCAGGCGCGCTTCGCGCGTGGAGCTCTGCTAAAACAAACATGGCCTCTCAGTTTCGAGATATTTCCCCCAAAAAGCTTTATTAAGTTTCTGTTGAAGCTCATCATGCAAAAAGTTTGATTAGTGTAGGTCAAACATTTATGAGAGGAGACAATGTTACACCGGTTACAAGTCACTATCGATCTCCATAAGAGTAAATTGTATGTAAAAACGAAGCAGAAATTTTCCAAAGACATCAATTCTTTCGCTTCAAAAGTAGACAAACGTTAAATAGTCGAAGTAAATGGTGAATGGAAACTTTAAAAAGAAAACAAAGAAATAAGTACACTAACCCAAAAGGAAGAAATGTTACTGTTTCTGGCCTTTGGTTCACGGTCAGTGGAAAGATCTGAAAGATCGAGCAAAGTCTGGAACAACCACTGAAGAATGTCTTCACCGGCGGCGTTCCTCGGTCACTTCATTTCTCTTACATTCGACTTGATTGAGAAATTCTAGAAGTGGCTTTAAGGCAAGATTACAACAACTGTAATTTTTGTTTTGTTTTGCCGACTCTATCACATTGTTTAAAAAACTTATCAGAAGAAAGGTTTCCTACTTAACTTGCATCCTTGTACTTTTTACTTTTCAAAAGTTCTTTACCGCGCAAGGTGCACTAAAAAAGTTGTTGCACAACGAAAAATAATTTTTGAGTCACAGATTGACCCTTGATGAAAGCAATATTAGGTTATCTGTCGAGAACTACGGTCTTGTACGTGCAGCTGAGGACGTGATGTACTTTTTTTAGATGGGCGCCATCTTTTACAGCAGGCTTTTAAAGAAAAACTTCGCCGTGGAAATTATCCCTAAAGAGGAACAAGGTTGAAAAAGTATCCGGAAGTGGCCTGGCATTTGAAGATCTGTAAACAGTCGGTACAGCAGATTAAGAAATTAAGGCCTTATCGCGATCCTTGCAAAACCACCGTCTTCATCTCCGATGATCGCCATCCGCACGAGTAGTGACCACCATGGCTCAAATTTTGGCTACAATGGTTAAGTACTTCGAAGAAAACATCCAGTGTTTGGTATAAAATTGAATCCACTATCTCTCCTTTTTCAACAGCCGAGATATCACCGTAATAATACTGATAAACAGCTTAACAATGGCTTTCGTACTTTTCGAAGAAATCACATGTTTTCAGCTATGTGCGTTATGCGCATGCGAGCGTGATGGCTCGCGCGCGTATTTTGCTCATACGACCCCGAACCACGCGTGTTTTTCGGATTTTTGTGACGTCAGCGCAGTTAATTAACCGTGAATTTCTCGCGTTTCCTTCGGTAAATTTTTTTAAAAATCGCCTCATTTCTTAACAGTTGCAGTTCCTTTGTACTGTCCTTTTCTTGTTAAAATCTGTAAGAGCTAAACTCCTCTATTAAGAAAAGTTACAAATTTCAAAATATTGGCGAAACCGTCTTAACGACCCCATGTTTTTTCCACTTTAAAATGTTAAGCAATATCGTTAACATAAAGTGGCAACGTTTAATGACATTTCACCGAGGGAAATAATAAACATTAAGAAAAAATGATCAAAAATGACAAAATTACTGCTTGCTTAAGGATGCGATGTTGCCATGGCAACGGCCTTAATCCAGAAAATGAAACTTGATAAAGGAGCCTTTTTACATGAGTAAACTCAGCGGTGAATTTCGTGAACCAAATCGCAAAGACAAAGTAACTAGATTTCCTTTTGTATCGTATGCTAGATAGCTAGGGTTATTAGTAAACACTCTAGGGAGCCACCTTAAATTGAGGCCCAGCATCTTATAGACACACTTTCAAGATAGCTCGGCTCGCAACAGTCATAAGTAGCAGTATTTACTAGTTTTCCCACGCTACCCTCTCTGGGTAGTTTTTGGTTGTACTCATTTCCGAGTGCGGACTTTTGGTCGAGATGTCGAGGGTCGAGGGTCGAGGGTCGAGGGTAACACGTTGGGGGTCGACGGTACTATGTCGAGGGTCCATTTTTATTTTTTCTATATTTTTAAATTTTTCTTTCGCGTTTTTTTAGCGAGTGAGGAGAGTCAGACACGCAAGAGCTTAGTTTTTATCAGCGTTGACTCAGAATGTTGACAACCTTTCGTGGCGGTATTTAGAGTAAATACACTGAAAATAATAAACGCGCTTCGGATAGTCTCGTTTATCCACAGCCCCGACAAGCTCGTCACGCAACGGTTTTTTCCGAAAGATTTTACCTCGAACGATTTTTGTTTTGTCTTGTTTATTTTTTTTTCTTTTTTTATGGGGGGGGGGGGGGGGGGGAATATTTCACTCCCTCACCCAACTTCTAATAGTCCAACCCTAATCACGATATTACTAGTGTTTATTGTGCTTTAGTGGGACTCGTCATTAGCTAGAACAATAAGCATACTCTCAACACCAAATATAAATCCCTCGAAAATTCCGAGACGTTTCAGCACAGTTTAAAATACATACACAAGATAAAATTAATAATATTTCTCTACCCCAACAACCAAGTGCGCGAACAGCGGACGTGACGCCCAAGATCGCAGAGACTACTATGGGCCAATCATTTCCAGGTTGCTGTTATTTTAACCAAATTTGCCTTGTTTTTCGTGAAAAACTGCATCACTGCAACTACCTGTCTTACGAAATGCGCCGCCTCGTGGTCTCCTAGTATCATCATAAACTGTTTGGCTTTTTCTTTGCCGTAATTCGTGAAAAGAAAAAGAAAGAATATTTCTCGTGCTTTCTGCGTAACGCAAGCGTCACGACCGGTCCAGAAAAAGCTCAACCACGGTTGACGTAAATTTACTTCTCATTTTCGCCTTATTTGTGTGCATGTAATGCAAGGTTTTTTCATAAGATTTCGTAACTTATTTTTTTTGGAATCGAAAGTCCGTGATTCGTGGTTGGGGGAGGAAGTGGAAATGCCCCGAAAAAATTCATACAGGTTGGTATAATATATTTTGCGCAACTTCCGTGACCGAAAATAAAAATTCTTGCGAAATAAAAAAATACAAATTCTACCTGCATCTTTCAAGCAACCTGATTAAAATCCTTGAAGCATGCGTTGCGTGACCAGCTACTCCCCTAGTCGGGGCTTTGGATATAATAAAGTGGGCTAAGTCATTCGTCTATCAGGAAGCGCGTTTATTTTTAGTGTATTTTTGTTAAAACTTGACAAAACTTGACTTTTCTAAAAAAACTGAATTTTTGGATGTCTGACGCTCCTCGCTCACTTCGCGCTTTAGTATCTGTATTTTCTTAAAATTTAAAAAAAATGAATCGTAGCAGCGGTAATAGGCTCCTGATCCTAGACAAAAATCAGCTGTGGATGCCGCCCAAGTACCCTCGACCCTCGACCCTCGACATGTCGACCAAACGTCGGACTCGATGGAATACAACGTTTGGTGTTCATAAACCACAGATATTACCCGGAATCTTGTCATTTATCTTTTACTTTTTTATGTTTCAATGCTTATTCCCATAATTATGAATTTATAATTGCTATTTTTCACAGCTGATTTGATATTTTAAAACAGAGGAATTAATTAAAATGAATTAATGCGTACAAGAAACTTACCATTAATATTAAAACTACAGTTGGAGCATATCCTGATTTCTCAAACAATCAAATTTGCGAAACCCTCCATAACTGAAAACAAAACTGACTTCCCTTCCCCAGGCAAATATTAGAATTTATCTCGGTTTTTTCGAACTTCCAAATAACTAACATATCCGCTATGCTCACCTGCAACACCGCCAACTAAAAAGACTCCTTCCTTCCTCAACTTCAGGGTAGATCTTATTCCGTCAACAGTTAAAGGATTATGAATCACACTCAAAAACCTCAGCTCCCCGAGGTCACCAATCTCAGTAGGTAGTTCAGTTAGTTTATTTCGAGTCAACTCCAGCTCTTCAAGCTTGGTCAGCCTTTTTATACTGGTAGGTAAATCAATCAAATGGTTGTCTCTCACACTCAGCGTCCTCAGCTCCCTAAGGTCACCAATCTCAGCAGGTAGTTCAGTTAGTTTATTTTCAAACAAGTACAGCCTTTCAAGCTTGGTCAGCCTCTGTATGCTGGTAGGTAAACCAACCAATTGGTTGTTCCTCACATTCAGCAACCTCAGCTCCCTGAGGTCACCGATCTCAGCAGGAAGTTCAGTTAGTTTATTCTTGTCCAAGTACAGCCTCTCAAGCTTGGTCAGCCTGTGTATACTGGTAGGTAAACCAACCAACTGGTTGTCTCTCAAGAACAGCACCCTCAGCTCCATGAGGTCACCAATCTCAGCAGGTAGTTCAGTTAGTTTATTTTCATCCAAGTTCAGTTCGTCAAGCTTGGTCAGCCTCTGTATGCTGGTAGGTAAACCAACCAATTGGTTGTTCCTCACATTCAGCAACCTCAGCTCCCTGAGGTCACCGATCTCAGCAGGAAGTTCAGTTAGTTTATTCTTGTCCAAGTACAGCCTCTCAAGCTTGGTCAGCCTGTGTATACTGGTAGGTAAACCAACCAACTGGTTGTCTCTCAAGAACAGCACCCTCAGCTCCATGAGGTCACCAATCTCAGCAGGTAGTTCAGTTAGTTTATTTTCATCCAAGTTCAGCTCGTCAAGCTTGGTCAGCCTCTGTATGCTGGTAGGTAAACCAACCAATTGGTTGTTCCTTACATTCAGCAACCTCAGCTCCCTGAGGTCACCGATCTCAGCAGGTAGTTCAGTTAGTTTATTCTTGTCCAAGTACAGCCTCTCAAGCTTGGTCAGCCTGTGTATATTGGTAGGTAAACCAACCAACTGGTTGTCTCTCAAGAACAGCACCCTCAGCTCCATGAGGTCACCAATCTCAGCAGGTAGTTCAGTTAGTTTATTTTCATCCAAGTTCAGCTCGTCAAGCTTGGTCAGCCTCTGTATACTGGTAGGTAAACCAACCAATTGGTTGTTCCTCACATTCAGCAACCTCAGCTCCCTGAGGTCACCGATCTCAGCAGGTAGTTCAGTTAGTTTATTTTTGTCCAAGTATAGCCTCTCAAGCTTGGTCAGCCTGTGTATACTGGTAGGTAAACCAACCAACCGGTTGTCTCTCAAGAACAGCACCCTCAGCTCCATGAGGTCACCAATCTCAGCGGGTAGTCCAGTTAGTTTATTTTCATCCAAGTTCAGCTCGTCAAGCTTAGTCAGCCTCTGTATACTGGTAGGTAACCCAGCCAACTGGTTCTTCCTCACATTCAGCTCCCTCAGCTCCTTCAGGTCACCGATCTCAGCAGGTAGTTTTGTTAGATTGTTACCATCCAATTTTAGCACAGTAAGATTTTTCAGTTTGCTGATACTTGCTGGTAATTCAATCAGGTTATTATGATCCAGCACAAGTTTCTCTATTTCACTCAGTTCAGTGACTGCATCAGGCACCCAGAAGAGTCCTTTTTCTTTCAGATCCAAAACTGCTAATCTATTTTCATATTTTAAGTAAGCTCTCAATTCTGTACTGGAATAATGCTCCATGTTTCAAATTGTTAATAAAAAGTCGTGACACTTCTTCTTATCATCTAGAAATAACAAGAATAGTGACCTAGAGAAAAAATCAAAATCATATCATCAATATAGGTGAATTTTAGAGAATCAAAATAAAATAAATCTAGAGCAGATGCTATTTAAGTGCATTCAGAAAATTTTTATATAAGTAGACAATGTTTATTTATTAACTATACTGATTTGTTACTCGTAGTTTATTTACATGGCATTTCATCCTGTTGACCAGTCACTCAAGTGCAGAATTACCCTTGGTGGGTTGTCTTGGCTTGAAATGAACAATGTCAGGTACTACCTTATAAATACTCATCTTCAAGCGACTTTAAACTTTCTGCGTGACTTAAAGTTCGCGATTTTGAAAAATCACCGTTTTCCAAGGCAATTAAATTTCGCGAATCAACTGAGTACACTGGTGCTCGTTTTTTAAACTTCCATTTCTACATTTTATTTAACCATAATGGACCGGAAAGGCATCAAGCAACAGGCTGAAATGTTCAACAATGTCAGCAACATAACATCTTTTGAAAGTACACTGATATAAGCAACCAAGGCACTATTTAACTTCCACGGCGCTGCCAATAAGCGTTTAGATAAGGACGGCTTCGATGTTTTCAAATAGATCTTTAGGCGATAAGGTTTCTTCGATCCTTTTACCATGCACCACTTTTCCCCACTGCCTGTCAAGTGGTTGTAAAAAATATTTTTAATAGGATAAACCAGTGAGCAGCACTTCTGTGAACGTCTTAAGTTGTAAAATTGTTTTATTGTCTCCTACGCGTTTCGTGTGACTGGCACACACTTTATCAGGAAGCTTTACAATACAACCAATCCGCATATATACCTAAAAACGAACTGAATTTTACATTGAACACAAAGCACCTACAAATTTGCGTATAGGAACTGCAAACCTCGTGGTTATACGTCTAAGGGCCTGTTTACATGGAGGTGGGGGACCCCAGGTAGGTGAGGTAACCCGCTTAAGTCGGGTAACTCACCTATCCATATAACCTCTCATTTTAATTTGATCACCATGATAGGTGGGGTGACCCATCAAGGCAGGTAGCCCGGTCTGGCAGACCGGGTTACCCTCTCAGACGGGGTCAAATTTTGCCATGTAAACGTTTCAAGGTGGGGTAACCCGTCTAGCCGGGGTGGGATTCGTGATACATCAAACTTGCGCAAAATTCACATTGGCAGTGGCTTTGCATCATTATTAAAGGTAACAATAGAGAGCCACATCACTGAAGGTTTCAGCAAGAGCAGCAAGCGAATGTAGAAGAGCAATAATCGCCAAAACACATGGTTTGTCAGCATTATTCTTGTTTACGTGCTTAGCGACCATTCAATAATCTTGAGAAAGTACATCCCGGGATGGGGGGTTGTAAGATTGCATATAAAGGAGGGTTATTTTTTACGCCACCAAAGCGGGTTACTTCACCAACCTGGGCTCCCCCACCTCCGTGTAAACAGGCCCTAAGAAACAGGCGAAGGAATATTTTTCAAGGTGTGTCATATTTGTAATGTTTTGGGGCCCACAGTTTTAGCTGAGTACTCCTAGCAGACGAAAAACTTAACTAAAGGTTTTTATATAGGTCACTAAATTTTGCATCTTTAATTTCGCGAATATTAAGTCTCGCGAAAATAAGTCATAATAATCTAATAAGGTAATACCACATCAGTAGTACAGAGAGCCAGCAATATTGGCAAAAAGATGTTTTGGAAACTCTTTATGGTCTCTACTGTTTTAATCGTATTTTCTAAAGTTAGTTTAACAGCTCAGTTGTCTGACCATTAATTTCAAACCATTTTGTGAAAGGGTTTGAATTCTCTATCAGACAGTAGATGGATCGATTTTTGAGCCAAAGAATAAGACATCATTTACTTTTAATACAATACTTCGAACTCATCTTAGTAAAATTATGGTTTTAGAAACCAGAGTTACACCTAATTGCAATAAGGTTGTCATAGAAAAAAACAAAAAGCAAAAAGCTAAAAGTTAAATAGGAATTAATTAGCATGTAATTATCATAACTTGCAACATTCACAACACACACGCTTACAGCTGAATATTAATCACGTAATATGAGAGAAATCATTTGCGTCAGTTTCTTACTGTCATTCTCATGCAATTCAAGGCTGAATCATCTAGCGAATTTCAAACGTGCTCGAATACAAAGCACATCGGATAACTACCAAAGAAATAATGGCTTCATTTTTTTTCAATAAATATAGCCTGGGGTAAATTCCGGGAACTCAATGCGTGTTTTAGATTAGTGCAATTATAATTGCTACCACAGAAACCAGAATATACCTCTGGTCCATTAGGATCCCAAAGGTCCTGAGTTTGATTCCAAGCAGAGGTGATTTTGTTTTTTAGCTTTTCTTTAAGATTTAATCAGGGTTTGCAAATTTTATTGATGAGTGGAGTCACTGTGACTTCTGCTTCACAAATTTTGGAGTCATTTTGGAATATTTGGAGTCAAGTATCACAATGAAAAACGCCATTTTTAGACTTTCCAGCACATGGTCCTGGCATGTATACACTATCGTGAGGGATACACTAAGTAGCTGTGGCAGTCCGCTGACCTGGAAAGCTCAAATCCATGATGGCGGTCATCGAGTAAACTTTGATCGTACTTTACGGCCCTCTTCCTGTTTTTGTCGTGCAGTATGATTCTTTAATTTTGATGATTTAATTAAGGTTTACAACGTTTACAATTAATGTAAATTTTATTTGTTGTGAAAAAGGTAAGGACAAACCTGTGCTTGTTGCCGAAAATTTCTGGAGTAGAAGTGACTCCCTCCGTAACCTCTATGGAGTCATCTGAACAATTTTGGGGTAAAGTACGCCAAATTTGGCGTATTTGCGAACCCTGATTCAATGCTGGGACAGTTACACTAGGTGACAAGTCACTGCAAAAGGTCTACATGAAGAGACGGGTCACAGTGATAATTCACTTTGATTGTGTGACACAATAAATTATGAAAAGCACTTAGCACTGAAGAGTATAGGCACTATATAAATATTATTATTATTATTATTATTATTATTATTATTATTATTAAATTAGAGAATGTTTACAAAAATCTGTCCTTGCGGAAGAATTTTTTCCAAACAACAAGTTAGCTATTCTCTGTCCTCCGCTATTCAAACCAGTGAAACTGCCACTGATTTTGCATTTACTTTAAAATAGATTCAGGTCCAATATAAAAGCACATTTTACTTTTAATTGCTGTATTAATAATAATAATAATAATAATAATATTTGTTTATTTCCACCATTCGCAGATTTCTCTGAATTACAGGTAGGGTCAGGCAAAGCACTTACAAACATACAATTATACATATAAATATATAAAATATAAAAACATAAATATAATAAAGTAGTAATATGGTAGAATTAACTCCTATTCGTGCCTGCAAATCCTTACTAAAAGTTTTTCCACCATTATGTTGTTTTCCTTGTCATTTCACAATGGGCCGTACGATGAGTAGCAGCAAATTGTATCCTCTCAGTATTGATTTTTTGAAAGCTTCAATTTAAAGATATTTATGATAGAATGACAAATGGTAGGCTCAATGTGTATACAAGGGTGCATTCATTTGATCTTATTTTGGA